TGCAGCTAACATTAAGTCACTATTGCAATGTCGCTTATCGGAACACTCAGATGAACGTTGAGCCAACATTGCAATGTCACTTATTTGAACCTTCACTTCCACCCTTGTAGCATTCCATTATTTCATCAATAATGAAAGCATTGGATTAAATATTCCGCTGAATGTACTAACCTTAGTACTTTACAGGCAACAGTTATCCCTTTCCTGCTTTGCGGAGTACTAAAATCCTCCTTTCCTTCGCTGGGAGTGGAAAAATCATTCTCCCTCCTAAGTACGGAGAATAGAGTCAATGTATAAATGATCGAGTTTATAGAAACTCTTTTCTAAGTAATCGTACATTGGGATGCAAGGGTTTCTCATAAGGAGTATTGCTGGCTCCATGCCTGGGGCTGCCTGGGCTCCATGTTTCTGTCTCGAATATATCGATAATAAATTAATAAGTGTCCGATTTCATTGATTGTTATAATGAGGCAATGAAAAACATATGGTGAGGTAATAAACACTCCTGTGAGGGATGTTTCCATGGAAAGAGGAAAGTGTACTTTGTGTACTGTGCGAAAAGCGAGACCCATACCTCCATCTAGTGGGCAAGAGAACTTCAGCATTTCCTCAAAATTAACTCCTCAGGGGAAATTCGACACATTGGATCATCGCGTCAGTCTAATATTTCATCGATGATGGAATGGCAAAATTGGGAAGTCCATATTGAGGCAATATTTAACCTGTATTGGCAATAATGGCAAGATGCATGTAGACATCGTGCCCAATGTTGGTCCAGCATTCACCCAATATCTGGTATTACTGGGGTAGTAACACTGAATAGGTTCTTGGTCATTTTCCAAAAAAAAAATTGTTTTCCCTATTTGGCGATGCATATTCCATGATACTACCATATTATTTAAAAAATGCGATTTAAGAAGGTATCATAATGCCATAACACTGCTACAATATTCACGCAACGTTGGTCTTTGACCTTCAACGTCGATGACACTGTATTGACTCTGGGGGAGCGTTCCCACAATGTTACTATGTTTGCTTTGTCATCAGGAAGTCTAGGGTTCGAATCGCATCATTTTGTTTTTAGTCTTCTTATGCTACCTGAACTCTTCCCCCAACCCCCTCGGGCTATTACGTTCTCGAGAATGGATCCGACAGTCGCAAATGCCGGAAAAAAGTGCTCCTCCGCCAGAGGGAGACGTACACACGAGGCAGGCAGAAGGCGCCGCACATGCGCACATGGACTTGCGGACATGCACTCAGACCCAAGCATCGGAGGCTTCATATGCACGAACATATTGTATAACTTCATTGTATATATATAGGACTAGCTGAAGTACCCGGCGTTGCCCAGGGAAATTAAATATTTCATGCATGACAAATTGGGGAACGTTAGCCTTATGGTTTCCTATGAGTTACCGATCTCGGGTGTCGCAAAATGCGCTCGGACCCCTTTCCTTAGTAAATTTTTTTTTTGCACGCCTTGAATAATCTCTAAATTATTTTTAAGGGAAAAAAAACTTATTGTGAAAATGCTTTTATCATTTTGAAAAATATTATCGATGAAAACTTGATGAAAAAATATTACTTACTACCTATTGTAGTTATCCAGATATGGGATTACCCCGGGGTAATGCAGGTGTCCGGAAGGGGAGAGTTGGATGGCAATGAGAGATCAAAAGAATAGCTGGGGACGCCCGGGAATCGAACCCGGGCCTCCTGATCGTCCGTCAGGTATGCTACCATTGCACCACCGAATCCAGGAGACACTCCCTCCTCTCAATGCCATCTCAGACATTACAGCCCCCCGGAAAAGTACCCCGGAAGTGAGAATTTTGGATCGAAACATAGCCCTCGACCTTCCCCTGGATGAAAGAGGAGGCCATGCAAAGTTTTGTTGCACTGGCTCCTGTGGGGTCCGAATGCATAAAGGAACAGACATATATATCAATTTATATTGATATATATAGAGATGGGTCACACCGATCCAGCCTAACAAAAGCACTTTCGTTCATTAGTAAGATAAAAGCCTAGATTTCAGCATGTCCAAGTCAATCGATTAATTGGGTTTAAAAATGTATATACAGTATTTATTATATCATAAATATATAGATATATGATTTTTTTATATTGAATCTACCTTTTTCTAATTTTACGTTTTTATTGAGACAATTCCACCATGTCAGATGCTCGCGAGAGTTTTTTTCTTTTTGTTTGTTGGCTGCGATAGACATTAGGCCAGGCGTAATTTCAGCCACCTTCTTATCTGCCCTAAATCAAGCATTTTTCGTGATCGTAATGTATTAGGGGCGATTGGCTAAACTATTAAACGAATCATGATGAAGTACACACAAAAAATCCTTAGAGTAGATTTTTAAAAAAAAACAAGGGATTTTTCGCTCCAAAAGAAACCATTGAATCGAGGCTGATTTAATGTCGACACTTCCACCGTGAATAGTGCAGCATTGATTCAATGTTGAGTCAATGTGGGTGTATAAACGGTGATGGTCACAGCGTTGAATCAATGTTGATTCAACATAAAAGTATAAACCTTCAACAGTGAAACATTCGATCCACACCAAATCAACATTGAATCAATGTTATGTGCTACCTGGGATGGTGGCCCACCAAGTTTCAGTTACAACACCACGAAAGTGTGACGCAGAACCCTCCGAAATTTAGTTTTGCATCGATGCTGGTTTCTTTCGTATCTAATGCAAGAGGGAAGAGGTCCCCGATGTGGAGCTTCTAAAAGTGTCCACATTTCATTTCCAATATCTCAAAGTAGGAAAGATAAAATAAAAGAACTTCCCCCAATATCCCATAACATTGAATCAACATTGATTATATGCTGATTCAACGTCTGGGTAATGATTCAAGGTTTGGCGCTTCTAGGCCTAGGTGCTACGATGAAGTCAGGGGGCTTGATAGCCTCCTTAAAAGCAAAGAAACCTTTTTTGAAAAAATTACCTTGGTGACCTTAGGCGGCCCTGTGTTCCATCAGTCACAGGGCCACTAAACTCCGTCGATTAAGTGCCCCACCCCTAGGAAGCTAAAGTTTAAAGGGTTAAGGGTCACACCAGAGCAGCCTGATATATTTTTTCGGTTATTAGGAAGGTACATGCTTAGATCTCAACATTTATTCAAGTTAATGTATTCATTAGCTTTAATTTTAAAAAGTAAATATGTGACTTTTATTAAATCTCTTTTTCTAATTTTTCTTTTGCCTGGAGATAAACTCCACCATATCAGCTGCATACGATAATTTTTTCCTTTCTGCTTTCTACCTGTTTGCTGCGATAGAATTTGCACCAAGAGCCATTTCAGTCACCTTCTTATCTGCCTTAAATATAGCATTTATCTTGATCGAAATCCATTTTGGCCGATTGGCTAAACTATTTAACAAACCCCGATGGATTACACAAAATAAATAATGACTGTAATCATAAAACCCAAAGGATTTCGTACTGTAAAAGAATCCATTGAGTCGACGTTGATTTAATGTTGTCACTTCCACCGTGATTAGTGTAGCATTTATTCAATGTTGAGCCAACGTGGGTGTATAAACGGTGACGTTCACCGCGCTGAATCAATGTCGATTCAACGTTGAGGTATACACCTTCAACATTGATACATTCAATCCACACCAAATCAACGTTGAATCAAGGTTATGTGCTACCAGGGACGTAATGGTGCGAAGTCCCGATGAAGTTTTGAGCTGGGATGACAGAGCGTGTCCTCTCTGCCATCATTCGCATTCCCCGGCCATCCCCTTCTCATTCCAATTATGCTCAGCACAATTCACATCGACATTAAATTCAGAACTACTTGCCTGCAGAGGTGGTATCAATGAAGTTTGATAAAGGATTAGGGAAGTTAGGGATTTCGTGTTGAGTTTTGCAAGGCCGAATGCCATGGAAATGTTCACAATCACGGACAACTTCCTCATGAGGAAGACACGGTACAGGAGCTTGTTCGTAAATTTAAACCCTGACTCACCCGATCACTCTTGACGACTTCGCTGCTCTCTCTGTCCATGTTATTCAACGCCGAGGTTGGTATGAACGATTCCCGGAAACTGAGTGAGCAAGGAAATTTCGCGTCCATCGACCGATGACAATCCTCTCTCTGACCACGGACTCGAACACTGACTCGAAAGCAAGACGACCGATTTTGAATCCCTCCATGCTTACGCTCTTGAGGGCGCCAACTCACGCTACCGTTCTTCTTTTGTGGACTTTGAAGAAGTAAAAGAAGCTCGAAGTAGAAGATCGTGTTTCTTGCAACGTCTCCCTTGAATCGAGGGGTCATGGTGGAACCTCAGACTTATAGAGCATGTTCTTATGCTACGACAACTCCAGCACGACTATAAACTATTATTTATTGCAATTTTTTTTAAACAGTGAATATTTACTCAGCTTAGATGTAGGGAAACTGATTATGAAGACTATTAAACAGGCCCTGTGACGCTCGAACCACCTAGAGAATCTGAAAGCTCATGCTTTCCATCACTCGTGAAACCTAGGAGGACTTTAGATGAAAACCGAATAGACAGAATGACAACCAAAATTCAGCAAACGGCCAGTTTAGTGCGTCGCACTTCCCTTTCTTCCAATTGGATAGGTTCGAATTTGAAGTTCAGAATTTGAACTGTCGGTCATAAGTTTGCATATATTAGGGCTTGACAAGTAGATGAGTCAGAGGGAGTTTCATGAATCTACGCCTTATCAGTCGAAGAATGGCTCAGCTTGACTCTTTCTTATGCCAGATGGCTTTGGAGTCTTGGTGCCACTTTGTAGTATAAGAATCGCCAAGAAACGTAAGACTCGTTCATTATAATTGTACCTATGAGTGTTCGAGGTTGTCGATAAGGAAACTAGGAGTGCAAAACTATTCTCATTCTTTACTGCAATCATCAGCGGTGCACACGGACAACACAGCATCGATGAAAGTTTTGAAACTTGGAATAATTAGAGTCACATTCACATGATGAAGTCATGACAGCCCTCATGCGAAAAGCACAAACTAGAGTAAAATACAGAATGCATCGTTGTGAAAGTTTTACGGTACATTCCTAAGATCAAATCTTGAATCGGTGATGATTCGCGCTCCCCTTGGAATGGAGGCCTCACTTGGCGATTCCAAGGGTCTCCGCTAGATGGGAGGAGCGTCTTTGAGCTCTTTCTTCCCACTTCTTTCCTCCTCAGGTACACTTGAGCGGTATGAAGCGGGACAGGGTGTCCTGCTGCCATTCCCTTGATCTTTCTCGGATGAAACGTGGTTTTGAGATTCACTCGGATGCCAGTTGGAGACACTGGCGACGCCTTCTCTTTCTTCCCTTTCTCCTTCTTCGTATCCTTTGATCAATGTCTCGATGATGAATTTCACCGTTTTCCTGTAGATCGCATCCATGTTCTCTGTGTAACGGTCCTGTAACGTCTCTCGAACTGCCAACAAGAATGGCTCCTCGATTTTCTAGAAAAGGATAGATACCAATACCATTGTAGACATGCAATTTGTGCTGCCACAAATCATTTGTTTCGTGTGTAGGAAAGGAAAACCTCCGTAAAAGAATTTTTCCCTTTTAAGGCTATTTTAGGCTTTATTCCCAGACGTAGAATCATACAAAGTAGAGCAATATCCCGATTTCCTGCTGCATAGACTGACCGTAGTCCGAGAATGAAGCCTCAGAGGAGCCAAAAGAAGACATATTTGACGGAGGTGAACTGATGGATTGGGCGACAATTGCGACACCGTTTTTTTTCCCCAACAAGCCGAGAAAAGAAAAACCTCTGACAACCTGATTTGGAGAGAGGGGAAACGGTGTCGCATTTGACGCAGATATGCCTGTAGGGGAGGAGGAGGGGGAGTAAAGGAAGGGGGATTCCAGAAGTAAGGAGTCATCGCGAAACTCATTCTCTCCTTTCCCTCTCACACTTCCGATATGCATTCAAGCCCCACTCATATCACTAGAGCAATGTCATTTACTCTTTGAAAGATTCTCCAAAAAACGTAAGAAAGTTATTCATAACAGCTGGGACTGGGCATAGGCATCATGGGCAGAATTCGTGAAAATTTAATTACATGCATTACAGAGAACGGAATTCATTTTTTAACACTGGTTTTTCTTTGACTTCAATGGATTACTTATTTTTAAAAAGCGAATATGGCAAAATGGCAAAATAGGCTACAGCCTACATGGTTATTTCGCTCTCGTTCTTGTAGAGTGGCTTCGTGTTCTTCACCCAGAAGTTTTTGCCATGGAACAAGGGAGAGAACTGGTTGTTGTGGATAGATTCGAGTACCGAAAGGTGAAAGTACTGAAGAAGAATATGGGCGTTATGTACCAGTGCGTGAAAAAGTCCTGTGGTTTTGTCGTAGGGAATGTCAGCGAACGAAGAATGGTGTAGAAGGCTGGCACAATTGTCTATCCAATCTGATAGACAAGAGGACTAATCCGGATTTGGGCGAATTTGTGGAAATTCTGGGGCGGGAAGAGCTAGCGGTTAGGGTGAAGGTTTCCCAGTACCAGACAGGACAAGTAAAAATCAAAGATAGAAAGATCGTGGAGGAGATGCAATCGTCTGACGCTTTTGAGAAGCTGGAGGTTCAAAATGTTGGAAAATACTTGGAGGAAGTTAAAGCGATTATGTACCGTTAGTTTGCCTTTGAACTTGCCGGGGATGCCTCTGCCCAGTCCCAGCTGTTGTGAATGACTTACGTTTTTGGGGAATCTTTCAAAGAGTAAATGACATTGCTCTAGTGGGGCTTGAATGCATATTGGAAGTGTGAGAGGGAAGGGAGAGAATGAGTTTCGCGATGACTCCTTACTTCTGGAATCCCCCTTCCTTTCCTCCCCCTCCCCCTCCCCCTCCTCCTCCCCTCCAGGCATATCTGCGTCAAATGGGACACCGTTTCCCCTCTCTCTAAATCAGATTGTCAGAGGTTTTTCTTTTCTCGGCTTGTCGGGAAAAAAAACGGTGTCGCAGTTGTCGCCCAATCAACTGATGAGTGCTTTTTTCATTCACTCATTCATTGATTCATTCGTCACTGGTACCCTTAGCAATCGATTTGCCATCGTTCGATAGACTCGAGATGGGCACAATAGGTTCCTACAGATGCCTCTTACTGTTGGGAAGGCCCAAAGACTATAAATTATGAAGATTGGGCTCTTTACTCTTTTGCAGGATAATCGGAATGTACCGAGTCAATGCACCTAGTGATTGGCCTTCCGACTAAAATCCACGTGCCTCGGAGAGATTCATGGTTCAATACTAATTTAGTCCACAGATTTCGCATTTTGTCTCTCCTAATTCTCATCGTCCAACATCGCCAGCCATTTCGCTGGGTTTTAGTCATTGTCACGCGAGAATCGTTATTCGTCGATTTTCCCCATCAGCCCGGTCGTTCATTTTTTTGCCTGTTTTAATTATTTCATGAGCTCCAATTTTCACTTCGTCGTTATGGCCGATTCCCATGAACACGATCGATATTCGTCTGCCAGATATGAACTACGCTTCATCTCTTCTTCATCCATTACAGCCTATTTTCATCCTTCGTCATCTCATCACGAATTTTTGTCATTCCATCGTTTACGCCTACCCAATCTCGCGATTCTGCCAGAAAGAGGATAGAATCTTTCCTTTCGCCTGCTTCCAAGGCTTTCATAACATAAGGAAACGGGTTTTGGCTCGTAGGGCAAGGAAGGTGAGGGGGAGGGGGGGGCCTGGGGAGGTTGGGGGTATCTGAGGGGAAACTTGACAGGTTGCGAAATTGATGTTTGCTACAATCATGAAAAGCATTCACACCCGCATCCCGAAGGAAGGACTTTCGAAGAGGCGCGTGAATGCGATAATGAGCTGCGAGTCTGTTTGTAGATGTCAATTAGCCATCGTATTCGTCTTATCGACCAAAGTCTTTGGCATTCTCATGAGTCATATGGAGACAATGAGTCCATATCACTCGACGAAGATTTCAGTTCATTCTTAGCAGTCCTGCCCTGCCGCAATACCTGCGGGGAATCGGGTGAACTTGAATGAATATTTGACACGATTAGGACAACGCGAGGAAAATTTAAATGTTGTGTCCTTTCCGTAAGTATCCAGACAGGACACATTAAATGAAACCACACTAAGATGCAGATCCCCCCGATCGGAGTGATATTCTTCCCTCCAGTAGATGACTTTCCGTTTTCCGCGTGAATCTTTTCCTTTCTTGCTTCTTTCTGTCATTTCCGCAAACCGAAGTCGAGATACGCGTACATCAAGGCGCCGCTTATAGAAAACTTGAGTCGCCTTAATCCCTGCAATTACGACTCAACTCGTGCAAGCACAAGTTACTGTCGACCGTCGGCAAAAATTATTTTAAATTTGGCACTGATTTTATCAGCATACTCAAGCGGAGCAGATCATTATCTACTGTATGCCATGATATGCAATGCAAGTCTACTTTTTCTCGGATGACGGCTTTCACAGAAAATGTCCATGTCTATTATGAGAATGCCCGGGCCAAGCGGGGAAAAAAAACCTCTCGAACCTTCCTCCGTTCAGGTCTGCTTCAGGGTACCCGATCCCATTCTAAGCTACGAGATAGTATTCCAGCGGAGAAACAAAAAAAAAACTCCTTCAGTCTGCGTTGGTCAAATCGCTGCGTCGGCGTTCTAATGGTGACGAGACTTTTTTTTTCGAGCAATTAGACAATTAGTGAGGAAGCTGTGAACCAAAGACGATAGATTTGCCAAGCGTTACATGTGAAAAAATGTTCTAAAACGGGAGTACAGTTATACAGGATCATCACGAGTAATTAGGATGAGTCCTTGTCAAAAGTCGGAAGGAAAGAAAGGCAAAAGGAAGGAAGAAAGAAGATAATGGAAAGAAAATGGTAGAAGAATGAAGGATGATTCTCCTATTTTCTGCATAAGTGCGCAAAGTATGACTTCCTTTTTTCCGCTTTTACCCTAGTGGCTGTCTGGATAGCGAAGGAAAGCAGACAGGATGTAAATTCTCAACATCCTTGTCCATGTTTTGTGTATGATTGAATGAGCCTGACAATCGAAACATTCCAGCCTTTACAGGCAGATAAAGACGCTCTTTCATATCTAAAAGGGACCTAGGAGCCGGAACGACTGTGAATGCACATGGAATGAAGTTGAAAGTTTCGTCATGTTTCCTCGGACCCCTGAGCAAGAAGTACTAGGAGTCTCCTTCCGCTGGGTTATTTATCTCTTTATACGGGTTTATGCAGGAATTTCAAAACCTACTCCTACGTTGATGGTGAGATCGGGTTCAACATACAGGGGACATTCGTGCAGGAGACTCATTCCGGTGAGGGAGAATCACTTAATATCGGCGGCCTCGTTGTGCCGAATGGGCATGATCGAAAGCCCCTTCCAAAATTTTCCTGTAGCTTGGAAAATTCGTCTATTCTGGCCTGTGCATTGAGTTAATGGTCATAAATACTATACGAGAAGCCGAGTTTGTGCCCTTGAATGTGATCCTGCAATTCAACGTCTTAAAAAAGCTTCATAAAATATCTGGCTCACTAACTCGCGCATCCTGAAATGCGTGTAGATCTTCAATTTCAGCGAAGGTAAAACAATATCTTTCAAGCCCTTAAAAGACATAAACCATATCCTTTGGAAAATGCTGTACCTCCTTTTATTTTCCGTTTTTCGACATCATTTGGGCTTCCTCAAATACCATCAGGAGTATCAAGAATTTTCACAGGCCAATTGTGCCTTCATGAAATAAGAAATAAAGTAAAAGGTTCCCTAGTTCAAAGATGTACCGTACATGACTCACGTTTCACGCGTGGCTCAAGCAGGGAGTTGGAGAAAGTATTCATCGCGACCCTTACGAAAAGATCCTATAGAATCCTATGAGATTTTTTAAGCATAAAAATATCATAGGATTCTTATAGGAATCCTATAGGGTTCTTATAGGATCCTATAGGAATCTTAAAGGAATTCTATTAGATTTTTATGTTTAAAAAATCTTATAGAATCCTAAAGGATTTTTCCATAAGGGACCATCACGAGAACGGAATTTTTTTATGGTGATCGTGAGCGATGGTGAATTTTCTTTCTGTATGAGAACAAAAAGGAAGAATGGAGGAAAGGAAAGGATAATTATTCACACCTCGTCAACTAAACCTTGTCCCGACTGCCGATTTTCTATCCTCTCGGTGCTCAAACTGCTACCCGTGAAAGGGTTCCGTGAGCCTGCGCGGAGATGTGGCTCCGATTATCACTATCTCAAACAGGGAAAGATTAATCGGTAGCTTGCCTGACCGGGTAAGTAGTGGCGTGCCACCAGTACTGTCGTGGCTCGAGATCCCCCTTTGCTCCTACACACAGCATCGCAGCATCTCCCCTCCTCCCCGCATGAAGGTTTAAATTTAGGTTTAGTTACCGCCGGATCCGTGCGGTCCGCCGGTATAAATACCTATGCACCACTGTTTTTTCATACGTCTGAAGAAACCTTGTGATCCGTATTTACATGGTT